GCATCTTCTCAGGGTAGAAACCTTCACTTTAGGTACTTAACAGCCTAAAAACCATGACCTAGTAGAGAGGGTCTTGTCTTCCGAATTTTCCATTCAGGGTGTGGAGTCACCACCCTTGAATAAAGTTCTGATCACAGTATCCACAAATGTTATTCAAATGGACTACCAGAAGGCATTTGGCTCTGCACAAGAGCTTATCAAAAATAAAGGCTCCCTGAACTGGACACAAGTTTGCCAGATAGGTTAGTTGAGGAAGAGAGTTGAGATAAAGAACATGTAGTCTGTGCAGGAATACAATAAATGGTGCTTCCCAGGGATAAGTACAGGAGCCTCAGTATTGCCCTATATTTGTCAGTATCACAAATTTGAGGCGCAATAATTACGGTAGATAGGAATGAGATGTTGTAAAGGGAAAGCTTACATAAGTTACAAATTAAGTGAATGTGCTCAACAGTGCCAAACACAGTTCAACATGGGTAAAAGTAAGGTTATTCATTTTGGACTTTCAGAGTATTCCTTGAACAGAGAAACATGGAACTGGTGACACACAGAAAAAGAGTTCAATGATTCCTACAACTTCTCAGCCCACAATTCCCTCCATAGTAAGAATGGAGCCTTGGAGTTACACCAGGCAGTACTGATACAAAGTTGACCACCATGGTGCAAACTAGCATCTTACAATTTGGAAGGCGGCCTCTATATCTATATCAAAATGATCCTGGGGTTTAAAGGGACAAGTTGTCTGCGCTGTTGCAAAAATTGGTTTGCATTCCCATGAATGCACAAGGTTGAGGGATGTTTGAAATGAGGTGTTCCTAGTTCTTATGTTCTTAAGTACACTAAGAGTTCCTACTTTGTGTAATAACATTTTATGTAGCACCTTGTCAAATGCCTTCTGGAAATCCGAGTACATTACATTAACAGGCTCCCCTTTATCCTTAGAACATGTTATTCATTCAGAGAATTCCAATAAATTAGTGGAGTACGACTGCCCTTTCACAAAACGATGCTAACTCTTCCTGATTACCTTGAGTATTTCATTTTTTGATTCTAACATCTATTTCACAAACGACATCAAGCTAACTAGCTTAAATAAAACCAAGAGCTGTGGATGCTGGAGATCTGAAACAAAAACAGAAATTGCTGGAGAAACTCAGCAGGTCTGGCAGTATCTGTGGGAAGAAAGCAGAGTTAATGTTTTGAGTCCATTGACTCTTCATCAGAAGATTACAGATTCCTGTTTTATGCGTTCTTCCCTTCTTGAATAGAGGGGGTATATTTGCTACTTTCCTGAAAAACAGAATCTTTTCAGAATTTAACAAATATTGAAAATTAACATTATTATATCTACTACCTAATTAGCCACCTCTTTTGAGATACCAGGATGAAGTTCACCTGGACTGATTTACAGATGTTACTGGGATATTTTTTTCTATCCTGTATAACATTCTCCCTGTGTCTGTGTGGGTTTCCTCCAGGTGCTCCGGTTTCCTCCCACAGTCCAAACATGTGCAGGCTAGGTGGATTGGCCATGCTAAATTGTCCGCAGTGTTCAGCGTTCAGGGATGTGTAGATTAGGTGGGGTATAGGGGGATGGGTCTGGGTGGAATACTCTGAGGGTTGGTGCGGACTTGTTGTGCCGAAGGGCCTGTTTCCACACTACAGGGATTCTATGAATAAGTAAGTCAGAAGTAAAACCTTTATGCATCACGTCGGCCATTTCTTTGTTATTTATTATTGACTCCCTCTTCTCATCCTACAGAGAATAAACCACACTTTTCTTAATCTTTTCTCTTTCGATACCTGGGGAATTCTTGTTATTTGTTTTCAGATTTTTATCTACCTTCCTCTCATGCTCGAATTTATTTGGCTTGATTAACCTTTTAGTGATTCTCTCCCATTCTTTATCTTCTGACCAGTTATCTGTCTTGCCACTCAGCTGTGTGAAACTATATACTCTTTCTTTTATTTAATGATGCGTCCTCATCTCAGAATTTTTCTTTACAGTAGAAATGTATTTATTCTGAATATTTGAAGTATCCCCTTCGGTGCAAAGGGATCTGGGCATTCTTGCGCATGATTCATAGAAAACTAGTAAACAGGTAGTAAGGAAGGCAAATGTAATTTTGACACTTAATACCAAAGAAATAGAGTACAGCACTGTTGCTGCAGATGTACAAGACATTAGGGAGTCTGCATCCGGAGTACTGCTCACAATCTTAGTCCCCTTAGTCGAAGTACTTGCATTGGAGGCAGTTCAGAAGCGATTCACTGGATTGATTCCAGGGGTATGTTTCATGAAGAGGGATTGTGCAGTTCAGGCTTATAGTCTGTGGAGTTTAAAAGAATGGGGGATCTAATTGAAAGATAAAAGGTGCTAAAGAGGATTGACAAAATACACTTGGAAAGGACGTTTCCTCAGGTGGAACAATATAGAACGAGAGGTCACAGTTATCGGATGAAAGTTGGCAGATTTAAAACAGAGATGAGGATAGAACAT